TGAGTCTGTTCCTCCCCATCCAGACCCGTACGGCCTCCAGGCAACGGGCCATCACGTCAAGGGCATCGTTGGGGTGACCTGGGGTGGAGATGTACAACTGAGTATCATCAGCGTACTGATGGAACTCCACCCCAAAGCCACGAATGATCTCTCCCAGCGGCTTCACATAAATATTGAACAGTAGGGGAGAGAGGACCGATCCCTGAGGCACCCCACAGGTTAGGGGTCTAGGAGTCGACCTCTGTCCCCCTGCCAATACAGACTGCGTACGGTCGGTGAGGAAGGAGGAGAACCACTGCATAACAGTGCCTCCCACTCCTAACTCACCGAGACGCCGCAGCATGATACCGTGCCAGATAGCTCAACATTTGTACAAATTCAGAAAATATCAAAATTTATTTTTAGATACTATTTTTATATTCATATATTTTATTGTACAGCGCCCAAAGTCACTCTTCGAGATGGGCGATTCAGAAATGCAAAAAATAAATTAAAAAATTCGGAAACAAACATCCTTTACCCACTAACCTCATATTCAACATATCTGATAGATTAAAAATGATAACGCATCATTTTGTGATCGTCCTTACCGCTCTTTGAATGCAGCTCTTACAGCTTCCTTCTGTCCAGTGTCGTACTGGGAGATGAAGATATCTGATGCTGTAGAGCAAAGAGAATGAACCATTTTAATCAGGAGCCAAAATGTACACTTAATAATCTGGAGCCAAAAGAAGGAATAGCTACTTCAGTGCTTGCAAGGAAAAATTCAATCACAGTATCATACACAGCTTTCAGCAACCCTATCTCATATGGAAACATTCTATTCTTTGAATCTGGGATTTGTATTAAGGCATAACTTCAATTCTGCTATCAAGGAGATTGCAAAAAAAAAAGTTTTGTGTTTGATTAGTTTTGTTATTGCATAACTACTGTATGAAGTAGGATATCAAAAATAGAGATGCAAGAAGATACAGAATAAAAATACCGTACATTGTAAATAGCAGCATTCAATAATGTACCTTCCCTCATTTAGTAGAACCAATTACTACTTATTTATACTTTATTTTAAAGTTTTATAGTTGTTGTTTATATTTTACAACATTTTCCCAGTGTTTTTTTAATCTATTTGTCTCTTTTCTTCAAAAGCCGTACTCTAAATTTCTTAGCTTGCCTTGCTGCATAATGTTTTGTGTAAGGATGCTATCTCTATATGAGTTTGGTCAGATTTATGTTGTAAACATATATAACCACTGCTATATATTCTTCAGATCTGGTCCTCAATCTTATGCCACTGGCAAAGTTTTTTTCCGGTATTGTATCAAATTGATTCTTATCACAGCAAGCAAATATTTCAATAGGTTGTTTTAATTTTTTTAAAAAACAGGTTTATTCTCTTTTTTGATTCAGGTTCAATTTAATTTACCAGAAATATGGCAAACAAATCTCCTTCCAAAAAAATAAAAACAATGCCTAAAATTGTAAATATATGCAGGAACATGAAACTGCAGGCAAAATATTACCTTTCGGCTTAACTGCATCTCCTTTCCATTCTGAAGTAATCTGCACTGAGGGTTTATGTGGATGTGTCTATCTCGGAAAAGGAAAAAGAAACTTGAAATAAGCTTCAGAATTACATCACTATATATTTAATTTCTGAAAAAAAGTTATATATCTATGTAAGACATAGCTTTTGTATTTCTAAAGAGAAAGCAATCTGGTACCTTAAAAACTAATTGTTTTAATGTTCTAATATGTAAGTATGTATGTATGTATGTATTCAAAATTAACAATTCATTAGAACAATTATATAAAATTATGTATGTATATATAATTGTTCTAACACACACACACATACATTCTAATGAATCTGTTAATTTTTGAAGAAATAACATTCATTTAAGTTTGGATCCTTGTTGCATTACCAACAACTCGAATATTTAATGTCAAGCCACCAAGATTCCTTTGATTGCAGCAACATAGAAATATGGAAAATAAATAAAGCTCCATTAAATGGGCACATTTGAATCAGGTTTGGGCAAAATCTGAATACTGACAGGCTATTGTCACCTTGAAAACTTTGCTTTAAACACACCGTATTTCCCTTGGATTGGAAGAAAAATTGCAAAATAAGATAGTAAAGTTGCAATAGGAATAGGAAACAAAACAAAATAGATTTCTGGCTAATCATATATTTATCAAATTTAGAGATTGCCCATTTCACTCATAAAGCAAGTCTGGGAAATGTACAATGAAAAAATGTCTACTCCTTCTAAAAACAAATAAATAACTTTGGCTTTTTATGCCATTTCAAATTGAGAACAATAGTTTCAGAATAATATTGTGAAACTGATGAAATACATCCCAAATTGGTAAGCCATTCTTTTAATAAAGCACAAGTGAACATAGAACCACAAATATAAATACTTGTTGGAATTTGGATCAGCTAGACATAAACATACAAAGATGTTTAGTGAGCTGACTAATGCTACTAAGACTTGTAATGTATCTCCATAGATGAAAGAAATTAAAAATTTCACATGTTCAAGTAAATAGCAAAAATTCTTTGGTCTATTGCATATATCTAAACTTCAAAGGCAACCAAGGAAAGGAGGAAGAGAAGAAGAAAAGCAAAAAATAAACAGTTCATTTCTTATGGCAATATGATTGTAAATTGAGACTGATGAGGAAGGAGGTTGGAGACAGCTTTAAAGCCCAGTGATTTCTGTGACAGTTGAAATGGGGAAAGCAAATTGCCTCCCCTGAGTTAATACAGGAAATGTTATGATTTCTGAGAGGCAAAGAGGGAAAGTATCAATGAATGTATGAAATGTTCAGAACACTACTAAGCCCACCTCTGAGGAAAAGCATGAAGTCTGTGCATCTTTTTCAGGTAATGCTAACTGTTCTGAGTCTGTGCCAGCGTGCTTGCTCACAAGACCTAGAAAAAAGTATGGTTAGTACATTATCTACAGTATACGAGAATTAATTTATGCATGGAACTTTTATTTCTGCTATTCAAAAAGTGTACAACAAATCAAAATAACTGCAGAATAGCACTTAAACAAAGGAAAAGGAAGGAATTAGATATACCGAGCATGTTGTCAACAGACTTGTTAATATGCTAATGCCAGTACCAATATACAATCAGAAAAGTCCCATGTATCCTAGCAATTTAACAGAAAACAGTCATGCAACTAGAAACCAGGAAACATTTTGCAGTCAAATGTTTTATAAGTCAAACAAATAGGCATTCCATTAATGTGTCATTAAATATTATCATGCAAACTTACCTTTACTTGAAGTGTTCAATTCCTGCTAGTTATAGCCTCAGTTAAAATGCTGCAGATATCTATACTATAATTTGATAGTTGAAATTTTCATACAAATAAACATGCAGATTACTAAGTTTCAGAAAATTAAGAACAATATTAACACACCCTCTGCTGTGTTTCCGGAAGATACTGGTCTTGATTTCTGATGTACAGTTTTGTTTGCCAGCAGTACTGATGGTATATAAGCTGCATCATCATTAACCGATGCTGAACATTCTGGACGACTGAGTGGAGTCACTTCTCGAAGTTTCTTCACTGAAATGGTCAATTTTTTCCTAGCACAGACATCAGATTTGCTGCTGGCTGGTGCTGCCCGAACACCAAGGGATTTATTTTTCATGTGGACGCTGGTGGAGTAAATTAGAAAATCACTGGCAGTGAACCTGGCCAAAAAATCTTTGCCTGAGCTAGTAGTGTCTTCCACTTCCTTTAACAGCTCACATCATATCCATTAGTCCTGTATCTGTTAAATAATCACACTGAAGAATAGATGACACAGTGTTTTAAATATAACAAGGGAGAAAAAAGGAAGAAATGGAGCAGGTTCAACTGAAATGAACTCTGCTGTTCTATGAAAAGATAACCATCACTATGAACTGTAGCAGAAAGGCACATGCAGCATACCACCATTACAGAGTGCAAGAACAGACTTGTTTAAATATAATCTGGAGTCACCCTACAGGGCATTCTACAGCCAACTTGCCTGCTGAGAAAACCTGATTTTATGAAGCCCTCCACCCCTGCATTCCTACATCCTAAAATAAAAAGTTAACACGGTTTCAATATTCATACACAGATGAAATAATATAACTGTTTCTATTTCTGAATTTCTTCATTTTTTCCAAAGAGATTTACAAAAAGTAAACATTGCCTACACGTTCCTTGTCAAAATTCCTTGCAAACTCATCAGCTGTAGGATGTTCATTTCCTTAACATTAATATCTAAAGACGCTATTTATGAATTCTAGACACTGAGATAATCTATAACAAAATACACCCTAAAAATAGCTAATCCGTCTCAGGGGTAGTCAACCTTGGCTCTTTTATGACTCGTGGACTTCAACTCCCAGAATTCCTGAGCCAGCCATGCTGGCTCAGGAATTCTGGGAGTTGAAGTCCACGAGTCATAAAAGAGCCAAGGTTGACTACCCCTGGTCTAAATTATTCTTTAGTAGCAGATATGTGTCATATCAAAGCTTGAGGTAAACGAATAGATGCTTGTTCCTGATAAAAGCATCTATTCATTCACCTCAAGCTTTGCTAAGACACTTATATCTGCTACTAAAGAATAATTTCTACAGCTGTAAGCTACAGTTCCAGTGTTACATTATGGCTACAGAGGCCTTTAATCCATGAACATTGTCTTATTTTCTTTGAATTCTATGCCCAGCAGCTCTGAGCCAATTTTGGTACAAATAAACTGAGAAAGAAGAATCTTCCTAATCTGCCTTCCATTACAACATAGTAAACTGTGTACCATTACTTCCAGCTGTCCAAATTACACGAAGCAATATGTTTAAGACTAAGCTGGATATAAGACCGCGTGTTTTGCTTTTGTTCAGAAGATAAGGAAATTCATATATTGACTCCAACCATTATCCTTCGTGCCGCTTGAAACCATCACTAACCCATAAACTACGGGGCAGGGGGGAAAAGATCTTTCGAGCTTTACCTCGCCATAGCTTTCAATCTCCCCTCACCTTTCATCCCCACTGGGGACCCGATTTCCCTCCACTTGTCTTCCCATATATCAGTCTTTGTATGATCGTCCAGCAATCAGCCACTAAAAACGCTGGTTATCATAGTCACAACAGCGACAGCTCCCGCCGCTTCCAAACTGACAAATGAAACCAAGCCTCTCCCTCGTAAGAGGGAGGAGGAAGCTGCCTGAGTAAAGAATGCGCATGTGCAGCTGGAACTTCCGCTATCTAAGAGCCGAAGACTGTGCGCATGCCTCGCGAAATCCGCCTTTCTTCTCTTCCCAGTCGCAGAAAACCCCCCCCCTTTTTTTTCCGCTTCCCCAGTTCAGTTATGTTATGGTAATTTTCCGGGTAGAAACAATTTTCTTCACGAGTGGTTCCACCACTCGCATGCCCTATATATTCCGTTCTATATATCGCTTCCTGATTTGCCGCCTTTACCAAGTGAAAGTGAGAGCAGAATCGCCTTTGTAAGCAATAGGAACGCCTAGATGAGAGGAAAGGGACATTTTACAGCGTCGCGCACATTTGGCGGTTGCTAGGTAAACCTACCTGACAGCTCCGCCATCGCTGATTCGTGTCCATCACCACGAGGTATGTAAGCGGAGGCGAACGAAAGGGAAGCGCTCGTGTTGTGGGGAGTTGGTGTTTGTCGTAAGCAAAAGTGAGGAAGGAAACAAAGAATAAAAGTAAGAATTTGTTAAAGATTGCAGTTGTCTGCCTTAACTAAGTCTCCCTGGAGAAAGTCAGTGGATAGTAAAGCTTTTTTTTTTTTTTTGAATGAAGAAAATCACCGGGCAGGGTTCGTTTGCTTCAATTTCTGGGTGTTGGATTGCAGTGATAAGAGAGAGATTTGAGGTTGGGCTTCTGAGTTTCTCAATATGTTCTAGCGCTGCAGCGCTTCTGGGGAAAAGGAAGATGTACAAGCTTTCATCATGACCTTGACAATCCATCAAGCTGTTTCCTAGGCACTAATGAGGTCTAGGGCTCAACAATGCTCTAGAATAGATCCAGGAGACTGGAATGTGATTAGAGAATTAGTATTATAAAGGCTATCAGCACTTGAATATTAAAAGTATAATTTAAACATTGCAGTAAAAAAAAGAGGCACTCAGCCCTGGTTTTGCAAAATCCTGTTGGATCCACCCAAATGTCTGTCTGACCAGAAATCCTCTTTCTACAGGGCAGATAAATGCTTAGGGAAAGCCAAAAGTTTGATGGTATCTCATATTCCTTGAGAATGTACTGGCTGTGATATTGAATATAATTATAGGTTGTTTGATTTTCACAGTCTTACTTTTCTTGAATTTATTTAATTCCCCTTTACAGTTGCTTAAACATGACAAAACTGTATACAAAATGTGCACCTAATTTGACATGCACAGCCTTATATATTTATGTCCTATTATGTTTATGAAGAATGGAGAAGAGATGCTTCCTTAGCTTTTCTCTCTTATCTTCAGAGCTGCTATCCATGATATAAATCCGAGCTCAGGAGGAGTGATATAGGATTGCTTTTTTCTAAGTGATTTGTGTGTTAGGGATAATAAAATACATGCTGTTTCCCAGACTACTGTAGGGAACTGTTGCCTCTCAGAAAATTGGCAGAAGTGTTTCCCAGAGGAAAGAGATCCTGATTGCTTGATAACCTCTTCTGTTGAAGACAAATAAGTATTTGCTAAGGTTCAAAACAACTGAAACAGTCCATTTCAATGCCATTACCATCCTCACCTTATGTTGGGCCTCTGAAAGAGCTGGAAGAAATTATCAAAAGCTTACCGTATATGACTATTTTTGAGAATATATTGATTGACTTGCATATATTGTTCTGATGCACAAAGCATGTATATTATTGGAACAATAGAAAAAATCATATCAGGTTCAATACTTAAAAGTTCTTATCAGGAAACATCTATGAAATAAATAGAAATAGAGATTTAAAGGGTTATCTCTAGATTGCAATGTATATATTTTTTCGAAGACTAAATCCGTAAGAGCATTTTGTCATGTGTTATGAAGTCACTTCAGTTTGTATAACTTGAATCTTGTATGATTAAAATACTGGAGACTCAGGTTTCAATTCAGTTTATGCATTAAGCAGAAATCCAAATTGAAATATCTCTTAGAAATGGCTGGCTAGCTTCTGCTGGAATATAAATATACCCAATGATGAAGGACCATCACGTCTGGATAATTGGTTCCACCAAATAGATTCTGTTACTGTAAGAAAATGTACATTAAACACTGCTGGTTAAAAAGTGATGTATAAATTACAGACTGAAGAATTCACCAAGTCTTTCTTTATGAATTCTGTTTCACAGAGCAGCATTAGAATGACCAGTGGTCCTTTGTATTCTTTCCATGCTCTTCCTCCTTAAAAACAGCAAAGTATTGAATTGGAAAATGTTTTGGAATAAACGTTGACTTAGATATCTTGCTTTCTGCATAGGTGGCAGTTGCCTCAGAATTAAAACATGGCTGGACAAATATCAGAATCAGATCAGATCAAGCAGGTAAATACAGTAATCATTTTTGAATGTTTGTGTTTGGTCCTTTTGAATGTTTGTATTACCACATAATTTGACATTTGAATAGCCTTCCCTAGAAAGAAAGCTACGGTTAACATCTGTAACAAATGCATTTATCAATTCAAAAATACATATTTGATACTACCCAAGTGCCCTTACTTTTATGGATGTTACTTCTTCTTAATCTGTCCTTCATATTTATTTCCTGTGAAGAATGGGCATGGTCAAGTCTGAATATCTATTTGATTTATTCACAGTTTAAGGAATTTCTTGGAACATACAACAAACTAACAGAAACCTGCTTCCTAGATTGTGTGAAAGATTTCACTAGCCGAGAAGTGAAGCCAGAAGAAGTATGTGACTTATTTTATATGTTTTGGATTGTAACCAGTAAGAAGTTAATATCAGCTAGAACAGTGGTTCTCAACCTGTGGGTCGGGACCCCATTTGGGATCGATCGACCATTTCACGGGGGTCGCCAAGCAAGGCTGTCCGCCATTTTTTTTGTCTGCCATTTTTTTTGTCCGCCATTTTTCCCCCCTTTTCCGGCGGGTGCCTTACCTCCCTTGGGCTGGGCCAGCTGGTGGTCGGCCTGCTCCGTCTCTGCTGCTTGCCAGCTACGCCGGAACCACGCATGCGCAGCGCTCCCGGGCAGGGAAAGTCCTCGACTTACGACCAATTGGGCAGTCCTCGACTTACGACCGGTTTAGTCCTCAACTTACGACCGGTTGGGGTTCCGGCATTAAAAAGGTTGAGAACCACTGAGCTAGAAAGTTGCAGTATTATGAGGGAAAGATAAAGTATTGATAAAACATCAAAAATAATCAGACTTTAATTAGAGCAGTAATATAAAAAAATATCTCCTGGATCAGATTGATGATTTACTCTAATCCAATTTCCAATTCAATTCTAATTTTACGATTCAGGCAAGATAGATATTTCTGGGGAATGGTGGTTTTGCCAGCTAATTTAAAATTTGCAGGTCATATATCAGAGAGGGTATACAGAACATGCTAGATAATTAGTTAATAGTAACAGTTTATTGATGAAAATCCATTGCATAGATTTCTCTCACAACTCCTGCAGTAAGTCAAAGCAGCAGGGAAGAAATTCCATGGAATTGAATCACAAAGGGCTTGCTTTCATTGGGCAAGTCTTATATTTTATGACATATAAATTATATCAATACCTCTTTCTCCTTCAGCCCTAGAGTTGCTTAGATAAGGCATCAGCATGGAATATTACATATTAGGAATCTAGCAGGTACTGAGCACCAAACAAAGGCAAATGTGGGAAGTAATTTCACATAGTCCTTGACTTAGGACCACTTGTTTAACGATTAGAGTTATAATGGCCTCAGGGGTGTTTTTCAGTCCGTTTAAAGCACTTCTGGCTATCGTAAAACGTGATCACGATTGTAATGTGGATGCTTGGCAACCTGTTCTTATGACCAATTTCCAATCACCTAATCACTATTTGCAATCTTCTTTGCTGGCTTCCCCAGAAAATCAATGAGGAATCTGGCGGGGAATGTTGCAAGCAACTGCTGTCTGCCAAGAAGACTCTCTCATCTCTGAGAGCTGGCTGAAAGAACTTCCTACCAAGGGGAGCTGAGCTCCCTTGCTGTGATTTTCACAGCCTCTGAGCTCCATTCCTGTTCCCCTCCACATATAGAAGAGAGCTGATATCCTCCTGCAGTGTGCAGAAATGAAATTTAAACCCTGATGATTTAAACTCCATTTCTGTGCCCCACAGGAGGAGTTTTCTTCCATGGAGGAAGAGCTAAGACCTGACATTCTTCAGTGGGTAGCCCTTTCAGACACCTCCTTCTAGAGATAAGAGGGATCCAAAATACAAATAGAGAGTGAAGAGGCAGTGCATTAAGCTGAGGAACTTGGATTGCCTCAGGCAAGAGGGGGAGCCCCAATCAGGTGGCACACTAGTGTCTCTTCACTGATGTCTCTACTTGGGATTTTGGCAGGGAGGATTTTCAGCTCCTAAGCAGAGAGAAAGCGCAGTCAGGAAAGGAGCACAGGGTGCCTTGGGGTGAGATGGGAGAGTGTACATGAGTATCTCTCTCACTCAGGGGCTGAAATCCTGCTTGGTTTTTGGCAGGGAGAATTTCAGCTCCTGAGTGGAGACTCCCAGGGTCTCCCCCTCCCTCCGAGGCACCATGCATTCCTTGCCTGGGACTTCTTGTGCAAACACTTTTTATTTATTTGTATCCCACCTTTATTGTTTTTACAAATAAGGTGGTGAACATATCTGGCACACCTTCTTTCTCCTATTTTCTCCACAACAACAACAACCCTGTGAGGTGAGTGGGGCTGAGGGAAAGTGACTGGCCCAAGATCCCCCAACTGGCTTTTATGGCTAAAGCAGAACTAGAACTCATGTTTTCCTGCTTTCTACCCTGGTATCTTAAGCACTGGACCAACTGCTTTCTCTTAATAAACACAACCAAGAGTGCTGGGAATGTAGTCACAGGATGTCTCATTTAACAAGTGCTTCATTCATTGATCAAGATTCTGGCCCTAATTGTGGTTTTTAAGCGAGGACTACCTTTATTTAATAGAGTTAGAATGGGAAGTTTGTTGTCTTACAAGTTGCAAGAGTAAATAAGAACTCACTTGACTAAGCATCCCATTCTAGATATTAATTAAAAAGTTGGGTCAAACTCAGGATAGATGGTGTGCTGCCAATGAATATAGTTATTCTGTTTAGCTGTCAACAGATGAAATCTACTGTAAAGGTAACATGCTATTTTTGTAAGATTGATTTCCCCCCCCCCCTCTGCATTTTCTTGTATCCCCCACCTCCCTTTCCAAATTACTAGAAGTGTGTTTAACATAGTTGGCTCTGTTTAATGGGGATCAGCAAAATTAGAAATCTTCCATTATTAGTGCAATTTTTCCCCTCTTAATTTGCATTCTATTTCTGTTAAAATAAATTGAATTCCTTGTTAATAACCATTGATATAGATTATTCCCCCAGGAATTTTCAAGTTCTTTTGTTACAATCATACAAGCTAGCAGCTGTCATTATATCCAGCAGCAGGACACACTCTATCTAGAATCGAAGAGAACAATTACTTTAAATTCTAGAATTGTTTTTCCTCAATGCAAAAATGTCATAATCCAACCGAGATAGACAGTGACCTGTCGAAATCTCCCGTTTATTTTGGTATTAGAATAGATTTTTTAAAAAAAAACCATGATATTTGCAATTACTTTCTATTGTTAGATAAAAACTAAAAGTTCAAAATTCTTGATAATAACATAGCTGGTCATTTGTCATTTATAATTTGTCACTAGAAACAGAGGAAAATCATTACCAGAGACCAATATCTTAGTGTTTTAAAATTAAGAGATTCTAATGCCTGAAATTTTCATAATTTGTTTTGAAAACACTGATAGCGTTAAATTATCATTATAGCAAGCTCAAAAGAGAAGTATTGAGCAAGTTCTGGGTACTTGCCTCTGCTTATATCTAACATTTTATGATGTTTTTAATGTCGTTTCTATAGATGTTTAAATGCAATATCACATGCCCTGGGATGAGAGTTTATGAAAAGTAGTGGATGTGTATATGCCTTTAAAAGTATAAGAGCATTTTAAAATACTTTGCATATTAAAAAATTGAATAACAAGTAGGTTCTTCCTGTTTTTTCCTTATACAGATAACTTGTTCAGAACACTGTTTACAGAAGTATTTAAAAATGACGCAGAGGATATCTATGAGATTTCAGGAGTATCATATACAGCAGAACGAAGCATTGGCTGCCAAAGCAGGACTTCTCAGCCAGCCCCGCTAGAAAACAGCAGGTTGTCCACACAAAGGAGTGCCAGCATTCCCTACACTACATTGTGAGGATGCCTGGTGTCTAGTGCTATTCTAGCAACATCTATCACCAGCTCAACCAGCTCAACATGGGATTGCTTAAAGAATGATTCAGTTGTCTCAAATAATCTGGTCTACAGTTGGGATTGAACAGCCATGGAGTTTATGGAGCTTTTTTTCAAGATTGTCTTTTACTGTATGCAGGAATAATGTTGATTCCATCTTTTCTGAAAAGATGGGTTGGTTCTACATGTTAATAGGTTAGAGATAAGGAACGAAAACACATTTTTTATTGTTTCTAATACGGTGATTATTCATTTTAAAAGAAAAATGTGTTGTCCAAAATTATATGTAAAAATGTCTAAAACAAGCTTTATTTTTTATTTAATCTAAGTAAAAGAGATAAAAATTACTGTTGCTTTTGAAGAGTTTTTTTGGAATTATCAATGGTCATTAGGTACTCTCTTAAGAAAAGCCTTGTGTGATGCTGCATTCTCACTCATCTCCAGCATTCTGCTGGCTCACAGCTGTCTCAAATCGCTAATAAATGGGGAGAAATAGAGTAATAATGCACTTAGATATTTAACTTTTTGATTTTCTAAAAACAATATTCTAAGAAGATATTTATATTCTTAGATAACAAATTTTACTTCCTACTTCCCCTGGATGCTTCCAGGCCTTATTTTAACTTAGTTAAAGATAATACTTTCGATGGTCTACTCTAGGGAATAGTTTAGAAGCATATGAAGTTCAAGAATAAAAAAGTTAATAATTATGGACCAGCTTAGCAACTTGAACAGTAGATCATTGGAAACAATGTAGTTTAGTTGATATAAAATGCTACCCACAAGGTTAACAAATGTGATACTTGTATTCACATACTATACCTATGCAAATATATTTGTCCGAAATGGTATAGGGTTTCCTGCCTGAGCAGAGGGTTGGACTAGATGACCTCCAAGGTCCCTTCCAACTTTTATTATTATTATTATTATTATTATTATTATTATTATTATTATTATTATTATTATTATTATTATTATTAATAATAATAATATTATTAATATTAATAATAATATTATTAATATTAATAATAATAATTATTTTGCTCTGTTGTTTAATGGGATGCACTGGTTCACACAGCATAAAATATTAGCTCAATTTTCACTTTATATACACAGTCCCATTTTTGTTTAGCCTAGTTTGTGTGAGCCTGGTGATTGTGAGAGGGGAGTATTAATTTAAGTGAAATTAAATTTACTGCTATCTTTTAAAACCATTAAAAAAGTTTAATTCATCTTTTGCACAGAAAATGAAGCAGCATTGAAATCTTGTTACTCTACAAAAAGTAGGAGGCCTGAATGAATTTCCGTTTTCTAGGAAAAAAAGCCAAGACTTTATGCTGATGAATAAAAATACCTTCTTGTTGAATTCTCTTTTTTGAAAAGCTTAGCTGCTACTTGTGTATTTGATTTTGGAATTAATGAATTCTAAATTTTGCAGATTATTTTAAGGGGCCTTTTATGAGCCATGAACATAAAATGCTGTTTTTACATTTGAACAGCAGAGATTTTGAAAATGATTCTACTGCATTCATTAATGTTTAAAAAGTTTAAAATTTACCTACTTGAATAGTATATGGAATACTGCGCACAAGCATTTCAAATACTTGGGGAGGTAGAGTTTGCTCCAAGACTTGTATTAGCTGGTTTGGCTGTGCGCACACAGAAATGGCATTGATGAGGTGATCAACGCTCTTCTTCTGCTCTCCTGTAATTAATTCATATTCCTAAAATGTAATCCATCATTCTTAAAACCTGTTCAATCATTTATATTACATTCACCTACAATTTGAATTCTGTATCTAACTCTAAACATTGATTTAACCTTCTGCTGTCTACTATGCTGCAATGTCATAAAATTATAGTCCTAACTGCTACAGCAAATGAAGCAAAGGTGAATAAAATTGCCAGCAACCACATCCTCTGTCTGCAGCCTTTACCTTAAAAGTAGCCAAAACTAAACTCCCTGCAAGTGTATTCTGTGCAGTTTCTAGCCTAGTCCCTTAACCACTACATCAAATTGGCTCCAAATATTGCCAATTATTTTCAACAGCACCAGGAAGCATAGCCAATGCTGAGTGTCAGTGGGAAAGAGTTTAATAAAAGGTCTCAGAGTCCCATGCCTGAACTAGCTTTCACATTTTGCTTTTACCGTCCAGCATTGTGGAGAAACATCAAGTGAAATAATACCACCTTTATTCATCACTTAATTTTCAGAAGCAGAAACATTCAATTCAGTTCCTTCCATGTTCCCAAACTATGCTTCATTAAAATGGGTACTTTTACTATTTTCAAAGTTAAACATTTATCATATCTCTGTTAACTTTACCTTTTGTCAACCAGAGTTCCCCTAGCTGTATCTCCTGCAGAAAGAACTCTTGTACTTCTTCAGATTCTTTTAGTTTGCGTAACTAAGGTGTTTTGGTTTTTTTAAAAAAAGAAATGGAAATCTGTGAATTAATCTGAATTGATGACAGGTGTTTTTTTTAAATCTAAAATTAAGTTTCTAGTTGTGGAAATAGATCTTGTGAAGGCTTTACAATTACAATTTACGAAGAGGCCCATTGGCTTCAGAAAAGCATCAGTTTCTATGAATATTTCATGACTACAGGCAGTCCTTGACCTACAATCATTCATTTAGTGACTGAAGTTCAAATGGCACTGAAAAAGGTGACTTCTGACCATTTTTCACATGATCGCTGCAGCGTCCCCCATGGTCACGTGATCAAAATTCAGACACTTGGCAACTGGCATGTATTTATGACTAGCAAATTCCTGGCATCATGAGATCAGCTTTTGCGACCTGACAAGCAAAGTCAATGGGGAAGTCAGATTCACTTAACAACTGTGTTACTAACTTAACTGCAGTGATTCACTTAACAGCTGAGGCAAGATACGATGTAAAATGGAACAAAATCGACTTAACAACTCTCTTGCTTAGTANCAACTGGCATGTATTTATGACTAGCAAATTCCTGGCATCATGAGATCAGCTTTTGCGACCTGACAAGCAAAGTCAATGGGGAAGTCAGATTCACTTAACAACTGTGTTACTAACTTAACTGCAGTGATTCACTTAACAGCTGAGGCAAGATACGATGTAAAATGGAACAAAATCGACTTAACAACTCTCTTGCTTAGTAGCAGAAATTTTGGGCTCAACTGTGGTTGTAAATCAAGGACTATCTGTACCGGCATTTAAAGGGCATTTTATTATTGTTATATTATTGTTTCCATTACTGTACTAGTATTTTTACATTTAGCAGTAGAACTCTAAATACTTAAAACTGAAAGATTTATACAGTTAAAAATGTTCATGTAGTTCCAATACAGGACACGTCTGTAATAGATCATAGATGTGGAGCTGAATACATATCCTTTCCCAGTTTCTCTTTTTTATACCTTTCAGTGCCACCCATTCCAATAGCTCTGAATGGCTTATATATATATGTCTTTAGTACAAGTAGATTTTAAGCCCTCTTCTAAACCACATTGAGGGGGCAGCCTCAACTCCAACAATTACCCTACAATACAGAGCCTGCTATAGAAAAAGAATTTATCACAAAGACATCTCTGGCAGGACATCTCTGGCAGGATCTGCAGAAAGCAACCCATTGAGGACCTAAGAGATTGAGGTGACTTGAACATGAATAAATACCTCCTGAAAGTAATTTGGGCTGAAGATATGATTGGGTTCAAAAACAACTGGCAAACGAAAGCAGTTATTTTAACATAGGCATGATATGGCAACTCCTAAAAATGCTACTTGCCCGCTAGGCAGTTATATTTACTAATTCAGGGCCAGCTGCAATTTCTGAACTGCACCCTCATCAGCATGCCAGCTGTGAAGGATATTGGTATCTGTAATTCTGCAACATCTGGATAATTTTCCATCTGGATTGAGAGACTAAGACAGAACTGATATTAATTTTGAATAGGGGGAATCACAACTAACCTGATATTCATTAATTGCATGTAATTAATATCTATGTCATCCTCAAGAAAAACTAACTTAATCCAGTGCATGTTAATTAGTTTTGTTTTATTCTATTCTATTCTATCTATCTCATTTCTAAATCACCCATCCTTGATAAACTAACTTAGGATCGCATTTTTTACCTCCAAGCTATGCCAATATTCTTAAATTTTTACTAAAATTCTATGAAATAAACTCAGAACCCATATATTTAAAAATGTTTACT